ATGAGGAGGTGAAACAGTTCCTCTTCCTGAGGAGGAAGGTAGCCTATTTTCTTTTCTGTCTACTTCTCTGTTGGGTGTGCTTGTTGGGTGTGAAGGAAGGATGAGTTGCTCTGCTGCTAGGGAGGGGTGCAGTATTTATTCAACCCTCCTGTTTGCTCCTTCTCTTCAACTTGCCCTTGATGGATGGAGTGGACTGCCAAGTAGTCTCTAGTGTGGTAAGGTTGTCAAGGTGCCTGCTGGGGCTGGGGCTAGGCAGCATACAAAGAGGGAACTCATGGGATGTGAAGTGCCCACTTTTTCCCAAGCACCTGCCAAAATTTATTTCTATAAACTTTTATAGAAATACATGCCTATTGAAGGCAGGTAGCAAGTGGCCTGTGATTTCTCTTTGCAATGGCTCTCTTAATCCTGAGTTCAGAGCTCTCCTTAGCCATTCAAAGTGGCTGATTATGATCAGAAAGCATGGAACAGCTGCCCCATCCTCTTTGGGACTCAACACTTCCCCCTGCTAAAGTTCTGTTTTCCATGTTTTAAAAAACCTCAGGGAAATGTACTCAGGTGTATCTGTGGACTTCATAATCTGTACCTATCTGTGCCTGCCTGCCTGGGAAAAGATCTAATCTTTGTTAACAGACCCTTTTTTTCCACCTGAATCTGAAGAGTTGGGACAAGCAGCAATGAAAGCCCCATTATCTTCAGGGCTTTGATCTGGGCACAGTTCCCCGCTCCCCACCATTATCCAGGCAGCCTGGCTTGTCTTCAGGCAAATGCTTGCAAACACAGCTACTGGCGCAATTTGTAAATCTCTCAGGGCTTCCTTTCACTTGCTTCTCAGATTGAGGAAGTGACCATCTGCATAAAATACTGCTGATGGACTGAATCAGAGGAAAATTGAACACTAACCATTTGATTAGCAACACAGAGGCCGTGGAGGTCTTTGGTGACATAGACAAGAGCAGTTTCATGGATGTGGAGAGGGCTGAAGGAGTGGGTTCAAGAGAGAATGGGAGAAGAGGGAAACTGGAAATAGTGTCTAGAGGTATTACAGGTGGTAATTAGAGAGGGTATGCCTAAAATCAAGACTGTGGGGTGGGTATATTTTTTGTAAATGACAAGATCAGAGATATGACCTTGGGAATGAGTGGCTGAGGTCACAATCATTGGAGTAAAGAAATCACAGAACTGAGAGATCAAGGGACTAGAATGATTCTGTAGGTGGGTGTTAATATCACCAAGAGTTATGACAGAAATAGTGGTGCAGAGAAGTATAGTGATCCAGGAGCTAAAATATTCAAGGACTTAGGTAGAAGAGAAGAGCTTGGCTAGACAACAGAGACTGGAGATAAATCTTAAAGGAGCTCTCAGTCTGGTTGGGGCAGACCTGCAAACAGATGAATGTCATGTAGTCTGCTGAGAGCCAGAGGCAACAGTGGAGTTGTGTCCATCTCTGGGGGGGTCAAGAAAGGCTTCAGAAGCCAAGTGACACTGCAGCTGGTGTGGGAGGCTGAGTGGGTGTGTTCCCATTTGAGCAGGGTAGGAAAGCACATTTCATGCAAAAGGAACTTTATGTGCAGGGCTGCAAAAACATGAAAGAGCACGGGACATGTGGAATGCCACAGCTGAGTTACTCTGGGCATATTACTCATCTTCCCTGTTTCAGTTTCCCTATTTATAAAATGGGGATAGGGTATCTGCAGGGCAGGCTGATGGTAAGAAGTGATGTGTATAACAGGATTTGTCACAGGCCCTATTGCTATCCCTTTGGGTGTATTTTTACTTGACTATTTAAAAATCCTATGAGATAGGCTCTGTTTTTATTAGTTCTGTTTTACAGATAAGGTAACTGAGTTTTAGGGAGTTGAGTAACTTGCCCAAGGTCATGTAACTGGTGAGAGGCAAGAGTTTGGACTCTTGGTCAGATCAGTCTAATTCTAGGGCTCTTACTCAACCTCTAAGCTATAGTCAGTGCTTAGCGCTTAGCACTTAGCTAGTACTAAATATATAGTAACTCTTATTGTCATGATTGCTAAAGTGTCTCACCCTGCCAGTTGAGGATTCTGTTATTACTTCTGCAGCTGGTTAAAGATCACTCTTACTATCTCTTGAGCAGCAGTAGTTATTTTTGGAAAGGTCCTCATTACCTATAATAGATTTAGATGGGCAGTTGCACTACTTTTGTTTCATCTGGTTGATTTTTGGAAATCGAGAGTGGGGGCTGGTTTTTGTTTTCTTGGAGGGCAAGTGGTTCCGAGAAGATGCAGCTGATGTGTGGGGAGGAAGATCTAGGTTCGCTGTACTTCTCTGATGTCTGTGCACTGAACCTGGAGTAGCCTCATGCCCCAGCAGCTCATACATTAGGGAGGATGGCCGTGAACCAGCCTTCACAGTCAAGAGGCATCATCCAAAAAGCAGATGTCTGCCCCTGTGTTTGCCGAGAGGCTGCAGAGAAAAAAAATCTTTTTCAATAATGATGCCTGAGGAAGCAGAACTCTTAAGAGCTGGCAACCCTCCCTTCATTCATTTATTCATTCATTCACTCACTCACTCACTCACTCACTCAATAAATTGTTATTAAATGCCTACTATGTGCTAAACACTTATTTGGGCACTAAAGACAATAAGTAGTAAAGAAAGCTGATGAAGTTTTGACTTACGGAATTTACATTTTTGTAGGAGGACATTTGGAGGCAAAGGTAACTAAAATGTAATAATATGAATACATGTGTCATCACAAACTCTCATGCCACAAAGGAAATTTACATGACGTGAAAAGATCAATAGCGATCAGTGATATTTCTGACTCTACCAGGAAGCTGCCAGGGAGTTAGTTCTTTGAATTCATAAGGAGAGCCCTGAAATTTCTGACAAGGAACAGAATGGCACCTCTAACTTTTGCCCCTTCAGTCATGTGCAGACCTGTCTGCCTGTTTCCTGGTCATGAAAACCCGGAATTCCCCTAGCCTGAACTCCAGGTCTTTGAGCAGAATTTTCTCCCACTTGATGTGATGAAGCCAGTTTGTGGCCACTACAGCTGCATCTCCCAGGACACCTTGATTGTGTATTAAGTTGATACACAAGATTGAAGTACTATATTTTCAACATTGTCCCCAACAGTTGTACTTTTATTATGCAACTAACATAATATGAGTAAAGAAAGTCAAAGTGAAATATGAAAATTCATCTCTTACCAGTTTGCTCACCAGTTGTCGGGTCTCAACCATGTACATTTTTTTCTAGGTTTTTGGACATGCATAGTTTTTATTCACAATGGTAACATTCTCTGTTTCACATTTTTCATTATAATATTGTAAGCTATTTTTCCCTCATTGCTACTTAAATTTACACACAATCTTAAACACACACATACATGTTCTATAATGGTAGATATACCATTGTTTAATTATTTTCCTATTGCTGGAAGCTTATTTGTTAACCTTAGGATTTTTTACCATTATAAATAATTTAAAAATGGAAAAATTTTTTTTTGCATGTGCATATTGCTTTATAGAACTCATTCTTTATTCTACTAATCGTCTTCACTACACTGTGTAAGGTAGGGAATCATTTTACATGTGAAGAAACCAAAGTTTATGATCTTTTTCTTATTTGAGTTATTTACTCAGTTTTGTTTCCTGGAAGTATGATTATAGTCACGAGCTATTAATCCTATGGCATGATTACTTTCTAAAATGATTAAATTCATTTCTAGTGCTTCCTTGAAATAGAACAATTTTATTATAATCTGTCCAGAAATGAATATTATTGTCACTTTGAAAACTGCTGGCTAATGTAAATTCTATAATATCTTATGTTTCTTAATATTCCAGTTGCCTCTTTCAGGTTTGTATGCTTGCATATCAACTTAATACACAATTAACTTAATACAAAGCTTTACGTATCAACTCAATACACAATCAAGTTGTCCTGGGAGATGCAGCTGTAGCGGCCACCAACTAGCTTCTTCACATCGAATGGGAGAAAATTCTCTCTGAAGGCCTGGGGTTCAGGCTGGGGGAATTCCAGCTCTTCATGACCCAGGAAGCGGCAGGCAGGCCTGCTGGCCTGTGCATGGCAGACAGGGTCATAATTTCATGTGCTTGTTCATTGTATTTTCTATTTTGTGACTTGGCCACCTGCTCATGTTGATTACCTGTTTATTTTGAGAGGCTTTTACTGTATTAACCCTTTGCATACCTTAACTCTTTTTTTCCTTTATATCACAGCATTTTTCACTTCATAAAATTTGGAATTTTTATGCAACTGATTCTATTAAACTTTTTCTTGTTATTTTTCTACATTTCATCAGAAAGAAAAAGAGCTGACAAATAGAGAATTGTATTTTTAGCTTTTAAAAATTACATTTTTATAATATTTTTCCAACTGTAAAAGCAATACATCTATATTTTAGATATTTGCAATATACAAAAAGTTATTAAAAAATGAAATCACATTATTCTACCATCCAGGATTTCTTTTTTTCAGTTTTTTCTCTTTCTCACATGCACATTTTAAAAAATGTATTTTTCTGTATTTGGATAGTATACTCTATGCTGTTCATAACCTACTTTTACATTAATATTATATGATTAAAGTTTCACATTTCATTAAATATTATTTGATAATAAATAATTTTTTAAAAATCTGCCTAGAGTTTATTTTGAGGTGAACTGACTCCTTTGTCCCCCAAATTGCTATTTATGTATTCCCAAACCATCCTTTCTTCCCAGATTGATCTGTGATCTCTGCTCTACATTTCCAGCATGTTCTTATATAGTATCAGTCTTCTCCTAAGCTATCTGTGCTGTTCATGGGCCCAGGGCACTGCACCTGTAATAAGCTCTTCCCTCTCTTTTTCTAAGCCCTTGGGCCTTCCTGGATTGAGCCATAGCCTAGGCCAGGGCCCACGCTGGGTAGTAGCAGAAGTGCCTACCTATCCTGTTAATTTTTAACACTGCCCCTATCAGCTCTTACCTCTTTTTTTTTTTTTTTGGCCTTTGCAGATATTTTTTCATCATTCTGAGAAAAATGAGCAGTGGCCTCCAGAACCAATAAAGCAGATACCTTTCCCATGAAGAACAGTGCTAGATCCTGAGGACCTGTGTGGGCCTGCAGCCCCAGGGGGATTAATCAGAAGCAGGTAAGAAACACCTGGAGGCAGCAAAGGGCACATCCCCGAAGAGAAAATGGTGTAGTAGAGTGTGCTGGCAAGGGTCACAGAGTTTCCATGTTTGGCTGCAGCTTTACTGATTCCTTCATGTATTTTTTTTCAGTTGATTCAGTGAGGATTGGGGATAGGTGGTTGTCTATTTCTGCCCACTGTAAATATAAGGTTTGAAGTTATTCTGTAAATCAGTCCACCCCTTTTGAGCCCCACTATGTGCCAAATCCTGCATTTAATGCTGTACATGTGGTCATGGGTAGGCTGGGGCAGGAGGCAAGAGCCTCAGTTTGTCTGGGATTTTCTTTCTGTTGGTTCAGTGCTGACTTGTTCTCTGTAGGTGATAATGGGAGTTGTTATTGTATGCATCTGGAAGTCTGATAGGGGTTGTAAGGATTCATTGATACAGTCTCAACTGTTCAATAATCCTTAATTGGGTGCCCTCTTTTTCCTAGGCATGTGTTAGGCACTGGGGTTTCAGAAATGAGCCAGGAGGATTTCCCTCTGGCAGAGGTCAGTAAAAAGCAAGCACTAGATGTGAGCATTCAGAGCAAGAATAGTGTTAAAAGGAAGGTGGGCTCCACAGGAGGTCAGAGCAGAAAGGTCTTGCTGTCTGGCTGTCAGACAGATGGACTGGGGGAGAGACTACAGCAGTGTAAAGGCCTGGAAGCTTATATAGTCACACTGGAGTGTGACTGGCAAATTCGGAGCTTGGTGTATTTTCCTGAAGAATTTGGGGAAAACAATCTGCTACCTCTTTTCTTTAGTTTGGGCTGCTTAGATCAAAATTCTTTAGTTCCCTTGTCTTTCTAGAGCAGCTCAAGAGATGGGAAAGGTCTCGAAGCTTGAAGTGCCTGACCAAAAAGTCCAGAGGTTTCAGATGAGTAAGTGCCTTGAGGCCACAACTGGGCACAGACCTGAAAGGCTGAGGCTGCTTTAAAGTTGCAGGACTGTGTTGTGTCTGGCTGTTTGGCTGACCACTTCTTCCCTGGGAAACTCGACCTTGGAGTGTAGGTGCTGGCAGGAAGCTGAACACCAGCTCCTTCCGAGCCTCGGCTCTCCAGGCGGTGAATCAAGCCCCACCTCTCTACCTCCTGTTTCATTTCACTCATCCACATACAAATCTGACCTCCACTATTTCTGACTCATTCATGCAACTTTGAAAATTATTTATACTGAAAAAATCTGTTTCTTCAGCTATAAATGGTGCTAATAAAAATTTCCCTGCTTCTCTCACAGGGTTGTATGGGTCTCATAAATGCAATAGTGTGAAAGGACTGCCTGGGTGGTAAACTGTGAGCACAGGTAACGGCTGCTGGAGTGCTGATTGTCTGGCAGATTGAGTTTTCTCTTTAGTGACCCTGATTGCTGCATCTTCTTTGGTCAGCATTGACTTTTCACTGTCCTTTATCACAGATGCTTGTCTTTTTGGTGCAGAGACCATGAATTTTAGAATCAGATCTAGGATGGATTCCTGGTTCTAGCACTGATGAGCTGTTGACTTTGGAGAAGGCCTGTAACATTGCTAAGTTTTAGTTTCTGCATTTCCTCAAATGGGGTATTTAATATCCACCCCACAGTATTATAGTATAAATTAAATGAGAGACTGCAGGTAAAGTGCCTACCATGTATACAGTAGGCACTTCTTAAATGCTACTTTCCTTTCTTCTCTAGTTCTTCTTCAGCTATCATAGTCATTTGATTAGCTGTGCTGGACATCTGAGGACATTGAGTTTCCTAGTTTTCTGATGATGTGACATCATTTTTTGATTTCAAGTTGAAATTCTTCCTCTGTGTACATTTCACCACCACTATCAAAACTTCAGCAGCCCAGGCAAGAACGCACCTTGCCCAAAGCTACTGGCTCCTGAGGTCTGGGGTGGTAAGAAGCCCTGTTTGGTTGGTACTGCCAGTAAATTCCAAGAATGGTCTGGATGTCACTGACATGAAAGAAGAGTTTCAGCTGAAGGATCTGAAGCTCAGGTTGATGAGTCAGGGCCAGTGCTCCACTCTGGTCTCATTTACTGTCCCATGTCACCTCCACATGGTTCTCATGTGGAGGGGCTGCTCTGTGGTCTGGTCTCTGTTCAGAACACCTCCTATGTCTTTGCATTTGTTATACAAGCCTGGTAATACCATCCTTGTTTCATCCACCCAGCACTCTGTAAATGAGGTGGGGAAGAGATGATTACTGACTGTACGGAAACTTAGGTGCAGAGACGTTAAGTGATTTATCCAGTCACAAAGAATGGGGACGAGAACCCAGCTTTCCTGAATACCCTATCTAGTACTCCCACCACTTTATCCCTGACACCCTTGGGAGCAGGCTCCATGGGAAGGGGGTGTAGATCCCAAGTGGGTTAGCAAAAGCCAAGGGTGATTCCTTACACTTATTGTGGTAAATAAACTCATTCATTCAGGAAAGAGTTTAATGCTCTTGTAAAGATGCAGACATTGTTTGAGCTCAAAGTGCTTTCATCTTCCATTCAGTTACACAATAAATTCTGAGAAAACGAAGTAGGTTTACCCAGATCAAAGGGGACTATTCAAGCTCTATTTTTTTAGTGAAATCAATTTTCCAGAACTTTCAGCAGTTCTGTACAGAATGTAGTTAAAAGGACATGGATTATGAAATCAGCAGTTCTGTACAGGATGCAGTAAAAAGGACATGGATTATGAAATCAAGTGCACTTGGATTTGAACCTCAGCTCTTTGATACTAGACACTTAACTTCTAAGAGCCTCAGGTGGCTGATCTGTGAGATGGAGATTAGAAGACCATGGCTAGTGGTGGTCAGGGCCTCTGAACAGCTCAGGAGATGTCCTTCATATTTGACTGTTATATATGTAGTGCTTGCTGGAGTCGTATATCACAGGGGCCCTGGTTTATGGTGACATTAAATGAAACAACAACTTGTGTGCTTAATTCATCTTTGTTTTCATTTCCTGAATTGGTCACTGTTTGCTGTCTTAATGAGGTTTCCTATCCTTTACTATGAGGCAAGCCAGCTTCCTGTCCCTTGACAATGCTCTTGCAAGGCACTCCCTAACCCTGAATGTTTTGTTGTGAAGCTAACCCTTGCTCGTCTCACTCGGGAGTCCATCACCACTTAGAGAGATGTATCACAGAGCTATGGTGTAATCTATGATGAGACAAATAATTAATACAATTAATTAATTAAATTTATTTTTATCCTCACTGGAGGGCAGGCTTATTGATTTTAGAGAGAGGGAACGGGAGAGAGAGAAACATTGATGTGACAGAAAAACATCAGTCAGGGGTCTCTCACATGTGCCCTGACTGAGAACTGAACACACAACCCAGGTATGTGCCCTGACTGAGAATCGAACCTGTGACCTTCCAGTTTATGGGACAGTGCTCTGTCCAGCTGAGCCACACCATCCAGGGTTCTCTCTGGCAATTTTAAAAGGGTGCTGGGCCCCTTAGAATTTTAGGGAGTTTGGGTTCTTGTGATGTAGATCAGTTAGCTTGCTCTTTCTTTTCTTCTAGATTTTTTAAGCATGCATGCCTTGATTTAATGGAGAGTGTAAGGCCCTAGGAACCAAATGAAATGCGGTTCTTGATCTCAGGAAGCTCAGAGTGCAGTTGGGGAGCTAGATCAAGCCAAGTGGACACTAAGACTCAGGATGTAAGAAGGAATCATGGAGAACATGGACAGGGAAGGAGCCTCTGAGGACTGTTCTCTACATTCGAAACCCAGGCCTGGTGCAATTCGAATCCTCTGACTCTAAATCCATCATTGCTCAGCCCATCACCCTGCCTCTTGCCAGTTACACTTGTAGATTTTCTTTACATCGTTTTTTTTTGCCTTGTCTTACTTTTTTTAGGCTTGTTTTCCTGCTCAGAACAGAGTTGCTCCCTTGAATGCGTCTTTCATTATGATTCACACCACCTTGAAGAAAAAAGTCAGCTGCTGTGTGCTGGCCTTTCTCCTGTTTGCAGTCTTCTGTATGTGGAAGGAGAAGAAGAAAGGGAATTACTATAATTCTGTTAAATTGCAAACCAAGGAATTACAGGCAATGAGTCTGGAGAAACTTGCCATGGGGTCTGGTTCCCAGTCTGCACCTTCAAGCAAATCCCAGGATCCCCACAAGGGAAGCCAGACCCTCGGCAGTCCCAGGGGCCTGGCCAAGACCAAGCTAGATCCCTTCTTCCAGGTGTGGAACAAAGACAGTTCTTCCAAAAACATTATCCCCAGGCTGCGGAAGATCTGGAGGAATTACCTGAGCATGAACAAGTACAATGTGTCCTACAAGGGGCCAGGGCCTGGTGTCAAGTTCAGTGCAGAGGCCCTGCGCTGCCACCTTCGGGACAAAGTGAACGTATCCATGGTAGAGGCCACAGATTTTCCCTTCAATACCTCTGAATGGGAGGGTTACCTGCCCAAAGAGAGCATTAGGACCAAGGCTGGGCCATGGGGCAGGTGTGCTGTTGTCTCATCAGCGGGATCTCTGAAGTCCTCCCAACTGGGCAAAGAAATAGGTGGGTTCTGTGGTGTTAAGATTGTTATCTGAATATGAAATTGTCACCTCATTTGGAGTACCTGGGCGTACAGACGAGACTGGAGACTGGTAAGTCTTCATGGACTAGCAGAGCAGGCCCAGGTCAGTGTTTTCCATTGCCCATGAGCCGGAGCTGCCTGAGGGCCAGCTAAAAGGATGGGGACCCGGTCTCCCAGAATCTGCATCAGTTAGAATAGATTTCTTTTTATCCGTTTTAAACATTAGTGTTATGCTGAAATGTGTGAAAAGAGTTTGACTGATACAAAGAGGTAAAACACTATAGTTGATGTTTAAAAATAATTGAAAAGATAGATCCCTGCCTTATCTTCAGGTTCTAAAATTTGCAGGCAGGTTGTCTCTTTTGGTCTCAACTACCTGGATAATTTTAAGCTTTTCTGTTTGAGAAGAATGAATTAGGGAAGGAATTATTGTTTTTTCCTAGTACCCACCTGGCACCATACATAGCTATTACAACATTATTGACTATGTTCCTTGTGTTGTAGTTAACTACCCCATGACAATTTTATAACGAACAATTTGTACTTCTTAATCCCTTCACCTTTTTCACCCAGTTTGCCAACCCCCATCCCATCTGGAAACCCTCACTTTGTTCTCTAAATTTATGAGCCTGTTTCTGTTTTGTCTGTTCATTTATTTTATTCTTTAGATTCCACATATAACTGAAACAATATGGTATTTATTTATCTCTGTCTAACTTATTTCACCTAGCATAATACCTTCCTGGTCCATCCATGTTGTCACAAATGGTAGGATTTCATTTTTTTTTTAATGGCTGAATAATATTCCATTATATATGTGTACCACTTTTTATTCAATCACTTAGGCTGATTCCATATCCTGGCTATTGTAAAAAATGCTGCAATGAACATAGCTGTGCATATATGTTTTCAAATTAATGTTTTGAATTTCTTGAGAGAATAGCCAGAATTGGAATTGCTGGGTCATAAGGTAGTTCTATTTTTAATTTTTTAAGAATCCTCTATACTACTATCCCAAGTAGCTGCACCAATTTGCAGTCTCACCAATGGTGCATGACGGTTTCCCTTTTTCCACATCTTAGCCAATATTTACTGTTTGTTGCTTTATTGATGATGGCCATTCTGACAGGTGTGAGATAATATCATGATTTTAATTTGCATTTTTTTGATGGTTATTGACCTTGAATATATTTTCATATGTCTATTGGCCACCTGTATGTTGTTGTTTTTTTTTTGAGAAATGTCTATTATTTAGGAGAAATGGGCAGAAATGTCTCTGCTCATTTTCTAGTTGGGTTTTTTTGTTTGTTTTGGGTGTTAAGTTGTATGAGTTCCTCATATATTAACCCTTTATTGGATGTGTCATTTCCAAATATCCTCTATTAATCAGTAGGTTGCTTTTGTGTTTTATTTGAGGATTTCTTTTGCTATGCAAAAACTTTTTAGTTTGATGTAGATCCATTTGTTTGTATTTTCTTTTGTTTTGCTTGCCTGAGGAGAAGTATCAGAGATAATACTAAGCAATGTCAGAGAATTTATTGCCTTTTTTTTAAGGAATTTTATGGTTTCAGTTCTTACATTTAGGTCTTTAAATCATTTTGAGTTTATTCTTGTATACAGTGTAAGAAGGTGGCCTAGTTTTATTTTTTTTGCATCTGTTTGTCCCAACACGATTTATTTAATAGACTGTCTTTACCTCATTATATATTCTTGCTTCCTTTGTTATAGATTAATCAACCATATAGGCATGAATTTATTTCTGGGCTCTCAATTCTGTTCCATTGATCTATGTGTCTGATTTGAGGCCAGTACCAGCCATTTTGATTACTATGGATAGCCCTGAAGTATGGTGTGATATCAGGTAGCATGATACCTCCAACTATGTTCTTCTTTCTCAAGATTGCTGTGGCCATTTGAGGTCTTTTTTGGTTCCATATAAATTTTAGAGTTATTTGTTCTAGTTCTATGAAAAATACCATTGGTATTTTGATAGAGATTCCATTGAATCTATAGATTGCTTTGGGTAGTATGGAACCTTTTAATGATGTTAATTCTTCCTATTCATGAGCATAGTATCTACTTACATTTATTTGTATCTTCTTCAATTTTTTTTCAATGTCTTACAGTTTTTCGAGTACAAGTCTTTTACCTACTTGGTTAAATTTATTCCCAAGTAATTCTTTTATGCAAATGTGAATGGAATTGTTTTCTTAATATCTCTTTCTGATAGTCATTTTTGGTGTATAAAAATGCAACCATTTTCTGAATATTCATTTTGTATCCTACTGCTTTACTGAATTCATTTATCAGTTTCAGTAGTTTTTTAGTGGAATCTTTAGGGTTCTCTTTATATAGTTCATGTCACCTGCAAACAGTGGCAAGTATTCTCAGTTTGAGTGCTGTGGACTACCTTCAGGCGGGCTCATGGATCCCAAAGATTTTGTGCAAAATATCTGTGGATTGGATATGTATAATATGTGTGTATGTGTGTAAGTAGATCTGTCCATTTTTTCTAGAAAGAAAGTTCATAGCTTTTAGTTGATTTTTGAGGAGTATGTGACCCCCAAAAGGTTAAAACTCTCTGGTCAGATTATATCAGATTATTATTTGATTTTCTTGAAATCTTTCATAATTAATAAAGATAGAAGGTCTATCCATCCTTGTTGTGTACAACACAGGGTTACAGGTTTGCTGAAGACTCTATAGTTCCCTTATTTTAAAAGAATGTGTTTTTCATTATTGTGAAATGAATCAGGCTAAAGAAAACAAAGCACAGGAAACATTGCTCTCTGTCAGGCCCTGGAAGGTACTGGGGCAGGTGGGGTCATGTTCTCCTTTTTTATTTCTTGCATATGGCTGCCAGGAAAAATGGTCTGAAACCAAGCACAGACTCTCAAAAGAAAAAAAGTAGACTCAAATTGAATTCTCTAAAGCAAAAAGAAGTGATGAGGTCACATTTTGTGCCTCCTCAAACAGGCAGCACTTGCTAATAAAAGCTGCCAAGATAACCAGCCCCAACTCTACTTTTGCCTTTTCAGTTTATTTTGGACTGCATTTTCTAGAAACTACATGTGGCTCGTTTTTGTTCGCCCATAATAGAACTCAATTACCTTCTTTCTTCCCCATTTTTGCTCTATCATGGTGATGTTTGGAACATTTCAGGTGTTAGCAGATTCTCTTCTTCATGTCAAATTATCAACATCTGCCCGGCTGAGATTGTGTTGAAGTTTAGGCAGTCTGAGACCTTCATGAATTGGAACTATACTCTTTTTTTTTGTGTGTGCACTCTGTAAAAGTTTGGAGTGACGTAATAAAACTTTAATTAAAATAATCTTTTATCTGTAGACCATAGCTATAATATTAAATATGTATTTCTAAGGAAAAACTTTGATTCTGAGACATAAAACAATTGCATGTTAGTCTTTAAATGTTCTGTATTTTATAGAATATATGCTCTTGGCATCTAGTTTAAGTAAGGAATTCATTCATTTATTCTTTTATTCATTCATGGATTCATCAACAGTACTAAACAGGAACACAGAATACAAAGAGGGAAAGGAAGGGAAAGGCCCTTTGTTGAAGGCCTGTGAGTACCAGGCGGCATGCCAGACCCATCACCTTCCCACTGTAACTGGGGTTTGTCTAGCCTATTCCCAGCTGTTGAACATATCAGATGGTTTCAAATGATTTGCTCTTACAAACAGTATGGCTGGCACAGTTTTGGGGTAGATAGTATAAGTGACTACTCCTTCCCTCCCAAGGGGAAATATCCTCAGGAATAAGATGAGAAGACCAAATTAAAACAGCTTTATGGCTTTTTTTTTGTCCATTGCAAAACTGTTTACCAGAAGATTGTAATAACATGCTATGTCTCCAGCAGTGCCACAAACCAGCTGATGTGGGGGCAGGGCTCAGTCATTTTCAATTATTTTTATGGGTATACATGTAAAGTATCTTAGATTTGTATGAATTTCCACTTCAAACAATAGCATATTTCTTAAATGTTATAACCCATAGGAGTGATGCTTACTGTGTACCTGCTGTGTACCTAACATGCCTTGCTTTCTCTTTTCATCTTCCAAGCAATCTTGGGAGGTAGGTATGATTATTGTTCCTATTTTACTGATGAGCTAAGTATTGAGGCACAAAGAGGTTACACAACTGGTTAATAACAGATCAAGACTTGAAAGCAAGTCATTGACTCAAAGGCCCTCATGGCCCTTTTGCTTTTGTGCCTCATAGTGATCGTAGCTTTATAATAATCTTTGGTATGTCATATCCCTTGGCAGGTTAAGAAAAATCCCTTGATATTCTTGCTTACTTGTTCTCCTAGAGGAAAGGAAGATAGCATTCAAGTTGAGGCAAAAGCAAGAGAAGCAAAGGCTGCATGGGAAAAAGTGCAGAATATACTTGGGCATCGCAGATAATCCTGTTTGGCTGGGATGTGGGTTCTCGCAGACTATAAAGTGCTGAGAGCTGAGGCCAGGAAGGTGGCCAGGGCTCAGCTCTTAGTGAACATTGGATATCACAATAAGGACTTTGGGTTTCATTGGTTGGTTGAGTATAGAGATACCTAGAAGGCTTCTGTGCGGTTGCAGAGATTTCTCACTTCTCTGAGTCCCCTTCTCTGTGGGGACTGCTATATCATCTTTCCCTTATTAGGGACTATCGCCACATCCAGGTGAGGTGGGCCAGGCCTGTGTGAGCAGTGGTAGTGGTAGTGAAAAGAGCAGGTTTGATTTGAGAGGCATTATGAGGTAGAAGACATAGAACTTGGTGTATAACTAGAGATGACCTTGATTGAGAGGCAGAAGTCAGAGTATTTCTCCTGGGAGCTGGCTGTAACATATTTCAGGGACGCATATTTCTGGAGAGGACAGGTTCTTTCTTGGGTGTGCTGAGTCTGAAGTGTGTGCGGATTTCCCTGGGCAGATGTCTATGCAGTTGGATATTTGCTTTTGGAGAAGGATCAGGGTGGGAGATCACATTTAGGAGTCATTTGTATTGAGGTGATAGTTGTAGTCCAGGAAGGAGGGCCAATGAGAAAACCTAGAAAATAGCTTACATTTAAAGGACAGAGAAAGAATGGGCCGGGCAAAAAAGATCAGAAAGGCTGGTGAGAGGGGCTGAAAGAAAACCAGGAGGGCAGCATGTGATGGAAGGCAAAGGGCATGGGGTTTGGGCAGATGGAGTTCTTTGGCAGAGCGAGGACGGAGAAGACACCCTTTGATTGAGAAGCTCAGAGAGCATGGTTATTTAAGTTGGGGCTCAGCAAACTTTTTCTGTAAAGGGCCAGAGTAAGTATTTTTGGGTTTGAAACCATATAGTATCCTTCACAATTACTCATTTCTCCACCGTAGTACAGAAGCAGGCATAGGCAGTAGTAAATGAGTGGGCCTAGCTGCGTGTTTCGGTAACACTTTACAGAACCAGGGAGCATGTCAGATTTGGCCTGCAGGCCCTAGTTTGCCAGCCCTGACCTATATGTGTAGTTTCCCTAACCAGAGTCAGAATGTAGTCTTCCACAAATGGTTAGATGATTCATTAAGCTAATTTGAAAATATAAAAATGTTTGATCCAAACTGATAAAATTTCTTTCATCATAATTTCCAGCTATTTATAGTTCCTATGTCTGGAGGCAGTGAGTTTTGATGTACTTGTGAATTTTCTAAGGAGCTGATTCTGTTGAATCTTCTAGGCATACGGTTATGTCCTGTGCATATATAATGGTGGATTTTCCCTTTCTAATGTGCATCTTTTTCTGCTCTCTAATGCCAAGTTAAAGAGAAGTGGTGGCATCTGTTTTCTATAGCTTCCCCCACTGCAAGCCTTGTTTGCTGGCAACTGGTAGTTATGGATTTCTCTTAGTGATTTCTTGGAGTCCTGTTTGAATTTTAAAGCTCTTAAGCCTTCAGTAGCAAAGGGAAGCTTGGCAAACAAGGATCCTGTTCCCTTTTCTTATTGCCCAGTTTAGTAGCCTGTTTTGAAGTTGTCATCTATGATTGACTTTTTTCCTCTTAGAATCAAATCCAAACTTTCTACCTGACCTCCACAGCTTGCGTGACCTGGTTCCTGCCAACCTCTTTAACTGCATCTTTTACTCTTCTTCCTCTCACTCACTTGTCTGTAGCCCAGTCCTTGCCCTCTTTGGGACTGGACACTCTCGGGTCCGCTGGTTGAAACATGCTTCCCTGGGACCTTTCCGTCCTGGCCACCCTTTGGGTGCCAGCTCGGAGGCATTCCCTGAATCATCATCCTATCTCAGCAATTTTCAACCTTTTTCATCTCATGGCACATGTAAACCAATGACTAGAATTCTACAGCACACCAAAAAATATATCTTTTGCTGATCTGACAAAAAAAATAGGTACAATTTTGATTCATTCACAGTGGAAGACTGCTGTTGTGTTGACTGCTGTAATTTTTTTATTTGACAATCTAAGGGAAAAGAGGTCCGTGCCCCTGAAATAGACAGGTATTGCATGTTTTAAACATTCTTGTAGCACACCGGTTGAAAATCGCTGCCCTATCTAATGGAGATTCTGCAGGGTTTTGGCTATGCAGCTCAGGTTATTTGTCATAGCATTAATTACAATGAGTAATTATCCTGAGTATAGGTTGTTGTGCTTCTTTACTGTTTCTCTCCTTGCACGATTACTAGATCTCCATGGCCAAGTTCCTTGTCCTTCTTGCCCACATCCATTGTCTGCAGCACCTAGAACTGTGCCTGGTAGAGTAGGTGCTTAATTAGTATTTGTTGGATGAATAAAAAATACTCCTTTGCTATGGTGGATGCTGAGACCCTATTCTCAGCCTCCTGTGCTGGGGATTCTCCTTTTGCCTTTCTAAATCCACTCTCTCTTTTTCTATCCAACTCTGTGCCCTGGGAAATTGAAAGTTGGTGTTGTGAGCTTCCTTGCTCTTCTAGTGTTTACTGGGAACTAGACAATAGAGTCACTGGTATGAAGCTGAGAAGAAGAAGGTGAGTGAGGTGGGGCTCCCTGTCGCCAGGGTCTCTCCTGGCATAGTAACCACAGGCTGCTTCTTTCCCTTGACTGACAGCCTCAGCCCTTTTCAAACAGCCCTTGCTGTCTGCCTTTCCCCTTCAGAGCCCAGAAGTCAGCAGGAAGAAGGAGAGAGGGGTTAGGGTATTGATTCCTTTCTTGCTGGCAGGCATTAGCAGTAGCTGTATTCTTCTAAAGGCCACATGTCCCAACAGGTGGCCTGCTTCTGTTGCCACCTTAGCTGCAGGGGTTGTAATGGCCTTTTGCTGTCACTAACACTGGTGTCACTCCATTCTTTGCTGATTTTCTTAAACTCTATTTACAACTTTCTAAATAGTCCTTTTATTCAACTCTAGATTAGTACTCCATTTGAGCTTGTCTTTCTTTCCTATTAGACCCTCAGATAAATAACTTATTCACCTGTGAAACAGGACAGTTGACTAAGTGAAATTTCCGACGATCTGCATTTCTAGTGTGATTGCTACTGGTCACTTGTGAAACCACGGCTAACTCTGACAAAACGTATTGCAATCTGAGTTGCGTAAAGATGTACCTCCTCTTCCATTTGAATTTCAGTGTGCCTGCCCTGTAAACCGATAGTATGGACTATATACATGTTTTTTTATAAGATTTTGTCCAAAGATTGAGCATAGGGTTGTTCTTGTGAAAGAGATGTCTAGATTCCTGAGGTTCTGTATATATGTTAGAATTGAAATAAAGGAGGCTTTGATTCTTTAATTCTGTGAGTATTCTTTAGATCATCTTGCTGTGAGCCAAATACCCACCCCACCCCTTCCTCCTGATGCTACCTTTGTGTGCGAAGAACCATCCAAAATAAACCCACATGCAAACATAAAACCATAGAGGATTGGGCTGAGATCCAACTCTGTGTGGATTTCAGTGGTGAACCAAAACTTTCTTGATCAAGTAAGGGTGGGATGAACTCTTATAGCAACACAGAGGCTGGGGTTGGGATGGATCTTAAAAGTCATCAGTTCTTTCCCCCATTGAGTTGGTCAATACAGTAAACATCTCCAGGTCTTCCAAACTCTGCTTAAACAGCTGCATGGACTGGAGCCAGGGAGTGAGTAGATTTTGTAAGATAGTCTGTTTGATTTTGGCTGGATTTAGAACATTGCTTCGGACAAAGAGCTTTTTAAGTAGAAAATATGAGGTTTAGTTTAGCTCTATGACCTTCTGTCTTATCTCTGCCACTACCAGGTTTGTGACAATACCTGGGCTTCAGATTCCTAAGTAGATCCCCTGAAGGGTGGTCTTGGTTGCCATAGTGAATCCCTCCCATTTGCCAAGCACTGCAAGCTTTTAAGAGTGCTATGGAGTACTTTGCACTCATAGGTTGGACCAACCTTATGGTAGTATCCTCACTTTTCTGACAGTGATAGAAGTAGGACCCCTTGGTTATACCAAGAGAGTATTTGGTTTTGCTCCATTGATAATTGGAATCATGATCCCACCATACCTAGGCATACTGGTATTCTTGAAAGGATTTCAGGAATGCCATGATATGGACCTCTTGAGCCCTTGCAGTGGCCAGGGAGACAGCCCCCCACCAAGTTCTGTCTATGAACTTATCCAATTACACCATACAAATATGATAATTTCTTCTTGTAGATCATGATGGAATAAAGCTTATAAAGTAACATTCTCTTGCCCCTCCCCTACCTCCTCCCCTCTATCCCTCCACAACTTCTCTCTTTTTACATATTGCTGGTACTCATTACCTCTTGTTTCCTTGTGGTTTGCAGATGATCATGATGCAGTCCTGAGGTTTAATGGGGCGCCTACAGCCAACTTTCAACAGGATGTGGGCACAAAAACCACCATTCGCCTGATGAACTCTCAGGTAAAATTTCTTCTGTGCAGATAGAATTGTTTTTAGAGATAAGTGAAAAAGTCCATGCAAAGCACTAAGAACCTGGCACATATGTCAGTAAATGTTAGCTACTCAAATTTTATGAGTGCAGACCCTGAGATGGATGTGGAGGATACAGTGGTGAACAAAGCACACTTGGCCTTGTTCTCATGTTGCTAACAGATACAATCAAATAGTCATATGAAGACATTTTAAGTTGCAATAGAATGCTATAAAGGGGAGGGTCAAGGTGCTACCAGAACCCATAAGAAGGAAATTTTTCATAATCAGGGAAGTCAGGAAAAGTGAGGAGGTGATACTTAGCTGTGTAGGAGGAGAAGGAGAAGACAAAAAGGGAAGGTTAAGAGGTTTTCAAGAAGAAGCAACAGCGTAGGTGGGCCAGGTGCAAGGGGCACAAGGACCTAGAAAGAGATGGGTGTACATGGGGTGGGAGGTGGGTGTGAGGTGAGAGATGAGGTCAAAGAAGGTGCCAAGCCATGGGGCTGCATTTGAGTATTTTTAATTCTATTAAATTTATTGGGGTGACACTGGTTAATAAAATTATGTATGTTTCAGTACACAATCTGTAATATATCATCTGCATGTTGCATCATTGTGTGTTCAACACCCAAAGTTAAATCTTCCATCACCATATTTTTGATCCCCTTTACCTTTTTTACTCCCTTTACCTCTGGTAACCATCCATACTGTTTAGTCTGTATCTATGAGTTTTGTTTGTTTGTCTTGTCTGGTTGTTTGTTGCTTTCAGTGTTATATCCCATATATGACTGAAATCAGATCATAGGGTCTTGACTTTTTGTGTCTGACATTTTGCTTAGTATGATATTCTCAATATCCATCCATGTTGTTGGGCTTGCATTTGTAAACATGCCTGGCTTCTATCTGCTCAGAAGTCTTACAGTGAGTGGAGACACACAGTTTGGAGGCTCTGGGAGGACCCCCGGCTAGAAATGCTAGTTGCACCAGAGTATTAATGAAGGTGAATTTGAGAAAAGACTGGATTTGGGAGCTATTTGGTATGTCCAGTCAACAGGCATTAGTGTTGGATTGGATGTGGGAGGTGAAGGAAGAGCAGCCACAGGTATAATAGGTTTCTGGTTTGTGTAACTGGCTGGCTAGAAGTCCCTGAGATTGGAAGCATTGAAGATGTTTTGGGTTATGGGGGCTAGGGTCAAAAAGTGGGGTAGAGATAAAAATGTGGTTCTAGTCATGGTAGATTGGAGGTGCCTTTTAGATATCTGTGAAGAGGTGGCAAGTAGGAAGTTGTATAAATGGGACTGGAGTTCCATGGAAAGGTCTAGACGGGATATGAGAGTTTATGAATCATCTATGTCTATGTGGCAATAAGGCAGCGGGACTGAATGAGAGCATGAGAGAGAATCTAGAGAAGGGTGAGGACCAGTTCTCCTCAGGGAATGAAAACAGCACTGTCAGATGCTGCTGAGAGACCAGTTCACATGGAGATTGAAAAACATTGTTCTCTCTTTAGCAAAATAGAGGCTGCTGGTGGCCTTAGCAACTGCTCTTTGGGAGAGTGCTGAGGCCAGCCAAAAGCCAGCTGAGAGTGTTTGGCGGACTGAGTAGCAGAAGTGAGTGGAGAAGAAAATTGTGGATAGGTCTTTAAAGAAGTCTGGCTCCGGTATAGGTGGACCTCAAGAACATTATGCTAAGTGAAATAAGCCAGTCAGAGAAAGACAAATAACATGACTCCACTCATACATGGAATCTAATGAACAAACTGAACTCACAAGGAAAATGGGGACAGACTCATAGATGGAGAGCAGATGACAGTTAGTGGGTTGGGGGAGGTTAGGGAGTGGAGAGATTGAGCAAAAAGGAAAAAGGACTCGTGGACATAGACAACAGTGTGGTGATTGCAGAGGAGAAGGTGTATAAGAGAACTAAATGGTACTGGAAAAAATACAATATGATTAAATAAAATAAATAAATAAAAGTTACTTAAAAAATAAAAGAAGTCTGGCTCTGAAGGGCAGGAGAGAAATCGGGCAATCATTCCAGAGAGTTAAGGGACCCAGGGCCAGATTTTGTCATTTTTATTTTTTTAGGTTGGAGATAATTGAGTGTGTTTAACAGTCAATGGGAAGGCAGCCACAAGAGGGCAAATACTGTATGGTCCCACTTCTGTAAGGTACCTAGAGTGGCCAATGCATAGAGACAGAAAGTAGGCCTCGTGGGGAGGGAGCGATTATTGTTTAATGGGCACAGAGTTTCAGTGTGGGAAGGTGAAAAGGTCGGAAATGGATGGTGGTGCTGGCTGTACAACGATGTGACTGTACTTGATGCCACTGAGCCATATACTTAAAAATGGTGACAATGGCACATTTTATGTACATTTTACCACAATAAAAAAATTGACTCAGTGAGGAGAAACTGAATATATATATTAAAAAGAGGAGATAAGTAAGTGAAGGGGTGGAGGGGCTTGGTCAAAAGCCCTGCCCAGGATTAACCCCAGCAGGATGGAGTCGAAGGAAGAAGGATGGGAGGGGTAGAAGGATAGCTGGGGCAGTTTGTAGTGGAAGCCTGGAAAGGCCTCTGTTGTTTCCGCAAAGTGGGGTGCAAGGCCCTGTTGGAGGGAGGCTGAGGGGGAGGGAGGTTTTAGTAGGGGAGATTTAAGCCAAGAAGGTTTGAAATTGTCTTTGGGGAGAGTGGAGGAAGGAGTAAATCAGTAGAATGGAGTAGGGATTCCAGGCCATGCTGGCCACGCTGAGGTTGGAGAGCATGAACTCTGAGAGAGGTCAAGCTCTGTTCAGTCAGGGGTGGTATGATGAGTAGGCAGCAGCAATAAAGAGAGGCAGTGCAGAGGAGTGCTGGGGATTTTCTCCGATCTTGGGCATCTCATGGTGTTTAGTGAGGAACTAAATCTCCATCCTACAAAGATTCTGGAACTTTATTTAAAGATGAGGTAAGGTTGCCTGGGAATTCAGAGACTTTGATCACATTCCTCCTTCCCCACTTCCTTTGTGAGTGACTAGAGCAAGTTGCTTCATCTTTCTGAGCCTCAGTTCCCTTGTTTGTAAAGGGGAATAAGAATGGTTACCATGTAGGGTCTTTGTAGGATCGGATCAGGTTACCAAGCACAGAGCATTTCACTCAGAGGCTGGTACGCAGCAGCAAGTACTCTGTAAAGGGTGGTGAAGCTTGCCTGTGTCTGTTGGGAAATCACTGTGCCTTCCAATCCCAGGCAAGGGGCCTCTTGCATTTCAGCAGGGAAAGTCAGCTGGCTTGGGGCCATTTGGAAGGTGCCCGACAGAAGGAAGACAGGACATCTGTTAAAGAATAATTTTTAGGAAAAATATAATGTCATGTAAATATAACAATGAACATGGGTTAAGCAATCTATTGTATTCATATGAGAGAACCAGGCAAATGTCCTAACCAGTGCAGAGGAAAGTCAAAGCAGCACAAATTCTGAATAAAAGAATGAAACTTTTTTTCTGTTAGATGGGAAGGAAGAGGGGGCCGTCAGTGAAACTACTGGGCAAGATCGAATAAGCCTGTCTATAGCTGGCTGCAATTTGCAGAGTTGTGAAACAGCTCCCATAGAATCAGAAGCTGATCGAGAGAAAGGGTGTGCTGTGGACGATGCATAGTTTTGCCACGAGTGCAGCACTTACCCTGAATCGCCAGAGTGTTGTGTTCCCTCTGCCAGGGCTGAGGGAGGGTGCCCACAGTGTCCACTCTCAAGAAAGCCTTTCCCAGTCCTCCTCAGACATGCCCACTCCTTCCTCTCCTTCCTTAGTGGCACTACACCTGTGGGCCGTTTCTTTAACACTTGTCACAGGCAGCTCCATGACAGTGCTTCTTGTGATACTGATCTGTGACTGACAGCTTTCTATCATTGCCCTTTCTCCTTGTCTAGCTTCTCTATCTTTTGTCTCATGGGTTACCCCAGCTATTCTGTGTCTGTTTCTGTGAATGAGCAAAGTGAGTCCCACCATTGCACACAGAAAGCAGCTGGCACCCAGAAGTCACTGACGGAATAGCTGTTGCTTTGGTAAATTCTGCCAGCGAGCAGCTCATTCTCTTCCCACGTGGAGAGGTTCCCCTGACGGCAGCTGTGTTCTGATGAGGGCTGGGCCTGAGTCTGTTCAGCACCCCACCTCCCTTGCATGGCAAGGGAGAGCATTTTGTGCATCTGGGCTGAGACAAGGCAACGGAAAACAAAAAGGTGGTTTTGTTATTGAGAAGGTAGCTTTTTATAGAGATTGGTCTCATACTGTGAAGTTTCAGCAGACCCGTTCAAGCATGTATGTGTCACGTGATGTTAGGAGAGTCAACAGGAAAACCATATGAGGCTAAATGTGTCTTTAAATAAATTCAATTTTGACTTAAGTGTAAGAAAGTTTCTTGAGACTCGGCTGAGTCCCTGTTGTGCCCAGTGGCCTTGAGGGAAGAGACAGTGGGACAAGAAAGCCCAGTGACTTTTTTGGAAGCTTTTTACAGGTTGGAGAGAGAAACCTAGGTCCTATGCCTCATGTGTGCTGACTGGACTTGAACCAGACATTCTCAGATCAGTTATGGGGCTTATCCTAAGATCATAGCTGTTGCTGCTTACTAAACACTTCTGCAGTCTAAGGGCCACACATGTCTTACCTTCATGACAACCATGGAGGTGTGGTTATAAACCATCATAAACGAGAGCACTGAGGCTCACAGTTCGTGTGTGCTCACCAGCCAAAATCAGTCTATCTCCATTATCATGTACTGTTTGACCCCCTTACCCTCCTCACACAGATGTTACATTGTAAAATTGTACACCAGAAATTTATACAACATTATTAACCAATGTTACCCCAATACATTTAATAATAAAAAAAGAATTTATATGAGTTGCTTTGGGTACTGTAGAGAGCATGCAATAGATGTGGATTTGGGTCTTGCTTTGTTTGCCAGCAATACTTTAAATCCTCTAAGTTTTCTTTTAAGCTCCAAAATTTTCTTCTCAA